CCTGCCTATCCCCTGTCCTGAGGGACCCCTCTCCCCCTGTCCCACACGGTGCCCAGAAGGGTCCCCCTGGGAAGCACCTGCGGCCCCAGAAGTGTCGGCATGGACCACCTCTCTGTCCCCCACCCTCTCTGGCTCCGAGGAGTCTTCCACCCCTGATTTGTCTCCATCTCTGGTTTCTCGCTGTCTGCCTCTGTTGTTCCTGCCTCTCCTTTCTCTGTGTGGGTCTCTCTGGGGTCCCCTCCCTTTCTTTCCTCCTTCCCTGCACCTCCTTCCGTCCATCCTTCCGTCCTGCCGCCACCTGTCCGTGCTGCTCTCCTCTGCTTTCGCTCTCCTCCCTGTCTCTCTCTGCCAGCTCGTTCTTCCTCCTCTGCCTTCCCCGCACCCCTCTCTCTGTCTCTCTTTTATTGCGATTATACATTTCTCCGGGTCTCCATGCACGTGTGTGTGTGTTTCCATCTCTCCCACTCCCCTGCCCCCCATCCACCATGTGCCCCAGAGGGGACCTAACCTATAAATACTTGACAAAGCCCAGCCTGCTGTTGGACAGAGGCAGAGGCGCTGCGTCCGCCTCCGGCCTTCACGGGGGCCTAATACCAGCGGCCCAAGAGTCGTGCTGGGGAAATGACAGGTGGAAATTCACTTGAGGGGAAGCAAAGACATTTTTGCTATAAATGAAATCCAGGGCGTTGACTCTGGAGGAGGGGGCTGAGCAGCCCCATGTTAGAGGGACAGAGAGAGGAAGGGGGCAGGGACCCTGGAGCAGGGTCTTGGCCCTGCCCCTCGCCCCACCCAGCAAGTCCTGCTGTGCGCCTCAGGCTCCTCACCTGCAAAATGGGGCTCACGGCGATTGCTCTGCAAGCCTTCAGGCTCCCTGGTGTTAGAAGTTCGAAGCCCAAATGTTAGAAGTTTGGCGTTTTTGAGTTCCCCGATGATGCTAATATGAAGATGGGGTGGAAAACCACAGTCTTAGGGCTTATGCATCCCCTCACCTAGAGATGTCTCCTTGCCCTCAAAACAGAATCAGAATGGAATAGAATAGGATAGACTAGGACAGAGCAGAACACCATAGAATCCCAAATCCCACTTACCATCGGCACCGCCTCATCATGGACCACAGGTCACCCAGCCACCTCCTCTCCCTCCGCCTCATCCACCCCACCTACCCACCTCCTATCTCTAGTCACCTGCTACCACACTCCCTCCACTCTCCTTCTTTCTTCTCTTCAAACACACGAGCTTGTTTCCACCTCAGGGCCTTGGCACTTACTGTCTCCTGCCTGGCTTGCTGTTTCCCCACGTGGCAGGTTCCTCACTTGGGTCTCAGCACAATGCTGTCTCCTCCAAGGGGCCCTCAGCACAATGCCTCTTCCTCCAGGGGGTCCTTCCTGACTGTCCTTCCTGGAGTAACATATCTCCCAGCCACCCTCCATCTCATGTTTAGTTTTCTTCACAGCCCTAATACTCCCTGAATTTCTCATATGTATCATTGGTTCATGTGTGTGTCATCCGTTTCCCTGTAAGCTAGTAAGGGCAAGGATCTTGTCATCCATCTGCACTAATGTGTCCCCAGACCCTAGAACAGTCCCTGACACATGGTAGGTATTTGGTAAATGTTTATCAAAGGAATGAGATTATTTCAGCTATGTCCTTAGTTCCTTGAATACACACGTGCTCTCTTTTATAATTCGTTTCTGTGCCTCTAGCAGGGTTTCTCAAGCTTGGCATGATTCACGGGTGGGACTAGATAAATTCTCCATCCTGGGGGCCATCCCACGCACTGGCCTCTGCCCTCCGGATGCAGGAGCACCCACCCCAAGCTGTGACAACCAAAAACGTCTCTAGACATCGTCAATGTCCCAGGTGGGGAGGGGATGGAGAATCGCCCCAGCTGAGAGCCGCTGCCCTGCAGGGTCAGACCCGTAGCGGGACACCCCAGAGGGCTGAAAACGGACGTCCTTGGACGCATTTGAGAACCAGGGCTCGCCTCTGATGCAGTTCCACCATATGACCAGCAGGTGGCAGCAGAGACCACTCTCTCACTAGCAGGGCTGCCCTCACTTTGCGAAAACTTTTCTTTTCTCTCCCTGACTTGTGTAATTGATTTTGTAACTCGGCTCTCGCCCCCCTCCCCATGGGGCCTTGTGAGCAATCCGCTCAGTTTGCAGTTTTACAGACTAGACGGACAGGAAGTGGCAGCAATGTCCTGAACCCACCGGCGGACAGAGAGCTGCCTGGCTGGCAGGAATGGAAAGGAAATCCTGGAATCAGGCAGATCTGAATTTGCATCCCAGTTGTAGCCCTTTCTCTCCTTTCCTCGGGCCAGTTAACTTAGCCTGTCTGTGCCTCAGTTTCCTCATCTGTACCCTGCCTCGCTTCTCTCCATAGTCCTCACCACTGACCATGTTTTGCACGCCTGTCCTCAATCATGTGGCAGCTCTGAGAGCAAGGGCTTGCTAGGTCCTAGCATGCAATGACTCCCCAAGTGTTTGTTGAGTGACTGAGTGACTGATGGCATGTAGAATAGTGCGGATGTGTAATAAGTACTCAGTGAGCATCAGCCATGGTGAGGAGGAGGAGGAGGTCATCGTGATGTCACGGTAAGGGTGATGGTGTCGTGGTGAGGACAGTGACGTCATGATGTTGCTAATGGTGCTGTCACCTTATGATCCATGCCAATGGTCCGCAAACCTGCTAAGCCAGTGGCACTTCCCGGGGGATTTTCTTAAACCTAAGGCTCCCCAGGCCTTCCTCACATCTCATGACTCTGAATCCTGCAGGAAGAGGTTGAAAACCTCAGCTGTACCTTGGAATCATCCAGAGAGGTCTTTAAACACCATCAACTCCACCCCGAGGTACAATCAGAGCAAGGATTCAGCCCAGGCATTGGGGTTTTTAAAAGATGCCCAGGTGATTCTAATGTGCAGCAAGGTGACCACCACCCCTGTCACTTAGCAAATACCCCAGCTCAGGGTCACAAAGGACAGGGCCCCAGATCAGAAACACCCACGTCACCTGCGAGCTGGTCAGACCTGTGAAGTCTCGGGCCCCACCTGGACCTGCTGACTCAGAGAGCCCCCCGCCAGGAGGGTTGGGACACCCCGAAGAGTCTCGGCACACTGAAGTGTGAGAGGCACCACCCCAGGGGATTCGGATGTGCAGCCACTTTGGACACTCCCATTCCCGTGGGCTACAACATGAGGACGAAAGGAGGGATGGAATTTTCTGGGGGAGGGAGCAGGGGTTACAATTAGTCCCTGAAGATCACCCCATCAGCGAGCTCCATGAGGATCTTTCACTTCGTATCTTAGACCCACCCCCACCATATATACTGAGAAAAGCCCACGTCACACCCAGACGTATGTTTGCCCAAAAGGAGCCAGGCTTCCCTGGAGAACACTCAATGCCAAAGGGCCAAGGAGGTGGGTGCTCTCCCCCACCCAGACCCACTGAGGCCACACAGCTAATGGTGTCACCAGGACTCAGCCCATGACGGACTCCACACCTCCTTTGCTGGGGCAGAAGGAACCTAAAAACGCTGCCCCATGAAGGACAGAAGACCCTGTGTGTGCTTGTGCATGTGTGTGCATTGTGTGTGTGAGCGTGCAAGTGACTTCACAAAACCTCCTTACCGGAGGCTTGTTAGAAATGCAGAACTGCAGGCCCCACCTCCACCTCCTTCCTGAATCAGAACCTGCGTTTTCACAAGATCCCCATAAAAGTCGGAGGCGCACTGGGGTAAACCAAATGCCGGGTCACTCTACCCTAAGATTTGTTCAAATGCTAGCCATGCTCAGATCCCACTCTGAGAGACTAGGATGTCATTGGCCCAATGTGGACCCTGCACAATTTTTAAATTCCGTTGAGGGTTGGGATCTGCTAATCGGTCTTCCTCAGGGGGTACAGGACCCTCCTCCTCCTGCTTTCCCAGCTGTCTGAATCTCGCCAGTCTCGGACTTGAGGCTAGGGAAGCAGGCTCAGTCAACACATTCATGGGGAAACTACTCTATGACGGGTGTGTGAGTTGACAAGGGCTCACAGGTGGCACTTGGGTCCAGGAGTGACTACTGTGTGTTTGAGGATATTCTTCCCTACTGGTTGTGAGTCTGCTGATCCTTCTTCCCTCCTCGGGCGAATCTGCTGATGATTCCTTCTTATGAGTCTCAAGCTTGCTGATTGCTCTTCCTGCTGGTGGTGGGCTTGCCGATGGCTCTCCCCATGGTCTCTGAAGTGACACAATAAGGGGACCAGCACGCCAACCACCAGAAAGCTCGGAGGGGCTTCCATGTCCGGGATGACTACTTTATGTTGCAGTACTGAGCCCCCGGTCACTGAGAATCATCGCTCCGAGTCAGCCCGGCCGGTCGAGCTCCGGGACTGTGGACGGGATGAGCGTGCACCTCGCTGAGGTGGGAGGTAGGGGGACATTTGCACTGCCCGGTTGGTGAGTAGCCCAGATTTCTGCTCTTGCCACCCCGTTTCACACTGCGCCCTAGGCGGGGGCTCCAGGTCTTGTGCGGCCTGAGGCCCAGAGTCTGGGGTGCAGCAGCCCCCCCACCACAGCAATCATGCTGCAGCCAGTCCATTGAACCTGCTCGGGAAAACTGTGGTAAGGGACTGAGCACTGTTCTTGGAGCAAGGAACAGACCACCAGCTCGCTGTGCACTTTCGGTGCAGCTTACCTAACCTCTCTGATCTTCCATGTCCTCAGCAAAGAAGGGGAGCTGATGCAATGAGTGGGGGTGAGCAGTGCAATGAAGCGAGAGGAGGCCCACAGGGGCTGCAATCCAGAAAGTTCTGGCTATGATCAAGGGGCTGTTTTGTTGTTTCAGGTGAGATGGGTTCTGCATTCCCAAGGCCTCCTCCAGCCCATACGGACACACGCATGCACGGACACACAGACAACACACCAGGCAAGGACATGAAAGCCAGGCCCGGAGCTCAGCCCATAGCGGTAGCCTTTGAGACCAGGGCCCTGCCTTCCACCAGACCAGGCACTGGGCTCATATGGCCCGGTCCTGCCTCTGTCTCAGGCTGAGCACGCGGGCCGCCCCCATAAAGGCCACCCCGGTGAGCAGCTCAGCGATGAAGCTCATCCAGCCCAGGGCCAGGGACCAGCCGAAGCGGATGTCCACCTGGTCCAGGAGGGCCTTCTCCTCCAGGAGACACTGCGCCTCCCGGAAGGCGGCCGCCGAGTACACGATGTAGACACTGATTCCAGCCAGGGTCAGCAAGGCTGCAGGAGAGGCAAAGGAGAGCAGATCAAACCCCCAGGCTCCTCCTCCTCCTTGCCCAGCCCACCTCTCCAGCTGTCCACGCTCCTCCTACCACAGGGCCTTTGCCCATGCTGGTTCCCTACCCAGTGCACCCTCCCTTCCCTTCCCGCTCCCTCCCGCCACCAGAAACTCCTGTCCATCCCCACATCTCAGCTCATCTCACTCGATTCCGGGACCTCCCCAAGTAGGTCAAGTCCCCCCTGTGGTTTCACAGCACCACACACTGTCACTGTCCAGGTCAGAACGGCAATTTTGCATTTGTTTGTGAGATCGCTTAGCTTATGGCCATCTCCCCCAATGGGCTATGAGCTCCAGGGGGCTCATCCTGGATTCCCTGGCACCCAGCATGGGGCTGGCCCATGGTGGGTCCCCAGAGACCGGGAACGACAGATGCCCTGTTCAGCGCCACAGCTGCCGGCCACAGGGGGCTGTTTCAACTGAAATTAAATTAATGTAAATGAACATCTCGGACTTCCTGGGCATCTGCCTCACATCAAGTGCTCCGCAGCCTGGCTCCACGCTCCCCGCACGGCACAGCGTGGATTAGACTTCCCGCCAAGTGCGCGGAGTGGTTTTGAGAATTAGTCCCTGGGTAACCTCTTAATGCCAATATCAATAATAGTAGAGGTCGGAGGACATCTGAGCCTCATACTGTTTTCACCGCCAGACATTCTTTTTGGTCCTTTTCCTCCATGGATCCCAAGTGTGTGCATCACCTCTGTCCCTGCTCAGTGTTTAAGCGGGGACAATTTCAAGCCTATAGGAAGGAAGGAGGCCTTAGGACACCAGCCATGTGCTGGATCCCATCTTTGAAAGCCTCTGGCCTGCCAAACAAATGGGATTAACCCAGGCATTGCCCGGGTTTTAATCAATCAATCCATCGATCGATCAAAGCAAGATGTGTCAGAAGGGCAGAGGCGCATGAGAGAGCAAGGGTCTCCTGCCAGCCCACAGCCCTCACGCAGAAGCTTCAGGGTCATCTGTGAAACCAGGAAAACAATCCTCAGGACCTGCTCCCACCCTCTGCTTCTCTCTTGGGACCCACTCCTACCTTCCAGCTCTGATGTCACAGATGGGGAAACTGAGCCCTGGAAAGGATGCCTGCCCGCCCGCCCCTCCCCAGCTGAGGGTTCACATGCAGCCCCTCTGGAGCCCCCACACTCCGTGCAAGGGGGGCACCTACCTCCAAAGAGGAAGAGGGTCCCTGTGAGCAGGAGGAGGATGGAGACTCGGAGGAGGAAGCTCAGAAACCCCGTCATCCCCCCAAACACCATCAGGATCAGGCTGAGCGGCAGCAGAATCACAAATGTCCCATGCATGGCTTGGAAGAGAGAGGAGGACCACAGGCAGAGGAGGGTTACCGACAACCTTCAGTCAGTCAACAAACAGTTACTGAGCACCACCTACGGGCCAGCCCCCAGATGCTGGGAGAACAAATTAACACCCTTGTTACTGCCACGTCTGATGATGATGATGATGATAATGTAACAACACGTTGCAAACCACAAAAGCCACTCTTTTTCATGGCTGAGTAATATTCCGTTACATAAGTGAAACAAGTCAGACAGAGAAAGACACATACTGTATGACTTCACTGATCCGTGGAATCCAGAAAACAAAACAAACAGACAAGCAAACAAAAAATAGACTCTTAAGTGCAGAGAATAAACTGGCATTTGCCAGAGAGGAGAGAGTGGGGAGATAAGTGACACAGATGAAGGGGGTGAAGACAAAACACACTTTCTGGTATAAAATGAACAAGTCACAGGGATGAAAAGTACAGTGTAGCAAAAATAATAATACTGTAATAATGTTGCATGATGATGGATGGTGAATACACCTGTTGTGGTGAGCACTGAGCAGTGTATAGAATTGTCCAATCCCTGTGTTGTACCCCTGAAACTAACAGAACACTGTGTGTTGACAAAACTTCAAGAGTAAAATCAACTAATTTTTGAAAGTAACGACAGGTGTGGAGACTCATCTGTGCCAGGCTTCAGGTCGCACAAGCGCGCGTCCTGACGCTCCCTGTGAGGCAGGTACTGCCGTGTCCATTTGCGTACTCACTCAGCATGTTTCCTGAGGACTCTGGAGAGTAGAGTCAAGTAGTGAACAGATCAATAAGTGACAGAGTTGAGAGACGGTGACAAGCGGTGGGGAGGGCAGTGAACACGGCACAGAACGGGCTGGAGCAGTGGCTTCACGGAGGAGGTGACATTCAAGCAGAGCCCTGGGAAGGAGGTGAGAGAGGCAGCCTGCAGAATGAAGGTCAGGAAGGGTGGGGTGGGGGGCTGAGGGAGGAGCAGGTGCAGAGTCCCAGGACAGACTGTGCCTGGTGGGATGGAGGCAGCCGGGGAAGCTGGCAGGGGCGGCGTGGAGACAGCGTGGGGGACGGGGGTGCAGGAGATGAAGACAGAGAGCCAAGGGCAGAGCATGCACAGGACTGTGAACTTCCGTCCGAATGAAAGGGGCCACCAGGCGGGCAGCTTGGGACAAGAGAATCCCACAGTTGAACTTCCGTTTCTCAAGACCGCTCTGCTATACTGAGAGTAGACAGCAGAGGGGGGCAGGGGACGGACAGGTGGCTCCCAAGCTCACGGCCCGCGGAACCGCTGAAGGTGACCCGATCTGGGACGAGAGTCTTTGCAGATGAAGTGAGGGGTCTCTGCATGAGATCATCTGCATTCGAGGGGGCCCTACATCCAAGGGCTAGTGCCCTGGGAGGAGGCAGGCGAGAGCATGGAGAAGATGCGGTGAAGATGGGGGACAGAGATTGAGTGACATGGCCCCACGCCAAGGGCTTCCGGGGATCGATGCCACCACCTGAAGCCGGAGAGGCAGGGACCGGATTCTCCCTCGGAGCCTCTGGGAGGACCAGCCCCGCGGACCCCTGCATTTCAGACTTCCGACCTCCAGGACTGTGACGCAACACAGTTCTGGGGTTTTAAGCCACCCAGACTGCCTGAGAAAACAAAAACAAGGAGCGGGAAGCCCATGGGGGCATTACTGCAATCACCCTGTTAAGGATGAGGGTGACCTGGGGCCGCTGGGAAGGGGTCGGATTCCAGGTATATTCTGCAGATAAAACAAGCAACGGTGTTGGAGGTGTGAGAACAAGAGGGACAAGACAAGAGGGGCCTGAGTGCCGGACAGACGTGCCGCCGTCTGCACAGGTGGGAAGATGAGGGAGGAAGTGCTGGGTTCGGGGCTCGGTCAGGGACCGGACAGGTTCCAGGTACTCCGCAGGGAGTTCGAGGTCTGGAATGCTGCTGTACCAGGCCAGCCCCTAGCTCCCCGGACACTGAAAGCAGCCCCTGTTCTCAAGACCCAAGTATTTCCTAAAGACCCAACCCTGCCTTTCCTCCACCACATACAGTCCCCCCCTCTCCCTCTGGTCCCCTCTGACTGCCCTGGCTCCCCATCCTGGGCCGCCCAGCCCACTGGCTTCCAGCCTTCCCTCCCCGGCTCCTGCCCAGCTCCCTCCATGGTGACTCAACACTGCGTGGGGAACATTTGCTCTGAGTTCCATTGACGAGAACAGTGATTGGCGAGGGGAGCGTGGGGTGGGGGGGAGGGGATGAACAGGTGAGAGGAGGGGAGGCCAGAGAAAGAACATCCCCTACCCCTCTTCCCTGTCCCCAAATTGCAGGTGGCTGGTGAGTCAGAAGCATATTACATTAACAAGGCGTGATCAGAACTTACATTACAGAACCAGAAAGTAGAAAAGAAGGAGTTACATGAATGTCAAGTGGGGTGGGGGTGGGGGAGAGGGGGGCGGAAGAAATCTGGGGTCTCAGGATCCCAAGATCTCAACATTTGCCACCATCTTGGCTCTGAGCTTCCCGGCAGCCAAAGCAAAAAGGGAAAGAATTGCAAAGTTCTTTTTCACTGGCCATTCGTTTACCAAATATTGATTGATCATTTACCATGAGCTGGACACTAAGCCTCCTTCAGTCCTTTTGGCAGCAAGATAGGTATGAAAATAAATACTTCGCTCTCGCTCTTGAGAGCAAGCTAAGCTCGTATCTTCCAGAAGTCTTTTTTTTTTTTTTTAGATGTTATTTATTTACTTGACAGAGAGAGACATAGTGAGAGAGGGAACACAAGCAGCGGGGGAGTGGGAGAGGGAGAAGCAGGCTTCCCGCTGAGCAGGGAGCCCGATGCGGGGCTCGATCCCAGGACCCTAGGATCATGACCTGAGCCAAAGGCAGATGCTTAACTGACTGAGCCACCCAGGCGCCCCTCAGAAGTCTTTCCTTACACCCACGTTCACAGTCTGCTCTGTGCCCCCAGCTCCCCATGGTTTCCCTATTCTAGTGTCTGTTACCTAATGTGGGGGGCACCTCCCTCTTCTGTCTCTCCTGTTAAGCTGTGCGTTCTTTGAACAGGTTCCTCTTGTACGATTGTATCCCTGAGTTTCCAGCAGAGCACTCAGGAATGGTGAGTGCCCGACGGGTATTCGTCGACCTCATTAATTAATTAAGAGCTAGACGGTGTTTCTCTAAGCCAAGAAAATATGGCAGTTTCTAAGAAATGAAAAAGAAACCAAGACAGCAGACATGATAGCATTCTTTTCAGAAGAAACGGAAACAAGACCCATGCAGCCCCCACCTCAACTCCTCCTTCGTTCTCTCCTCCCCATAGCCCCCAGGTACCAGGGGTTAGGACGTGGATATATATATTTTTATAGGGGGTGACACCTTCCAATCCGCGTGAAGATGATGGGGTAACGCAGAAAAGTGTAAATGTAGGTACCACGTCCCATAGAATAAGTGCTAGATAGATCATAACCCTGCCAGGAATGACAATGATGGAGACAAGAATACAGCCCGACTTCCACTGTGACCAAATCACTTTGTCCTCAACCCTATAATGGCCACCAACCTTGGCGAGTCAAGGACACAAGAGCAATCTCCCTCCCAAAGCTTGTCCGTCTGTCCCTTCCTCCCTTCCTCCCTTCCTCCCTTCCTCCCTTCCTCCCTTCCTTCCTCCCTTCCTTCCTTCCTTTCTCCCTTCCTTCCTTCCTTCCCAGGAAAAATCTTGGGCCGGAAAGCACAACAGCTGGGATGAAAACCTGGCCCTGGAAGATCTGTCCCCCTGTATGGCATTGCCTCCAGACTATGGCTGGGAAGTGAAATCATTTGTCATTTAGAAATTAATGAGGTTTCTTGGAGCGGGTTCAGCCCCAGCGGCGCCATGTGTGAGTTCCCCAGACTTGCTGCGAGCTGACTTGACGTACACGTTCAATTAAATGTCTGGGTAAGAACAGGCTTCCTGTGGGAGAGTTGTAAAATCTCCTGCTGAAGTTTGGCTTAGCTTTTCGTGGGGTGTGTGTGTGTGTCTGTGTACACACACGCCTTGGTCTTTGTTATTTTCAGGGCCGCAGACATGGGGCATGAGGATTGATTCTGAGTTCCGTACCCATTTCCAACCACATCTCGTTTGGAAACACCTACCTATAGGCCCCTAATGAGGGCCACGCTCTGCCACAGAGCCCGGGGACTCTATGATCTAGACTTGGTCCCTGCTCCCCCTGGAGACCAGGGTCCAGAGCAGAGACAGACGAGCAGGGAAACAAAGTCACAGGCTGTGATGTGTCATGAAGGAAGTCAGCATGACAATGCAGAAAAACGGGGTAGGCAGGGAGTGGGGAGCACTTCTTTGGATAAGGTGATTGCATTCACTTCCTTGGGCTGCATCACAAATTACTACAAACCAGGTGTCTCCTACAGGGATGTATGATCCGACAGTCCCGGAGGACACAAGTCCAAAATCAAGATGTCCCATGACCCCACTCCCCTCCAGAGGCTCCAGAGTCCTTCCCTGCCTCCTCCAGCCTCCTGAGGATGCTGGCGACCGACCCTTGACACCGCCTGGCTGGTGGCTGCATCATTCCCAGTCTCTGCCCCCATCTTCATTCTCCTTTTCTTACAAGGCGGGGCCCACCCAGTTAATCCAAGATGATCTCATCTCAAGATCCTAAACTTAATGACATCTGCAAGGATACTTTTTTCAAATAAGGTCACATCCCCAGGTACCAGGGGTTAGGACGTGGATATATATATTTTTATAGGGGGTGACACCTTCCAATCCACTCCAGTGTTTACGGGAGGAGCTCAACAGATGGCAGCTAAGATTACTATATAGAATTAATAATAATAGTAATAATAAATGTTGACAGGCCTTTTTTCATCGAGGGCCAATGTGTGCCCAAGGGCAAGAAACCGTTTAGTTCAAAAATACTTTGTTGTGGGGCGCCTGGGTGGCTCAGTTGGTTAAGCGACTGCCTTCGGCTCAGGTCATGATCCTGGAGACCCGGGA